GTGCTCAAGATCCTGAGAAGAGAGAAGGGATGGGGGCATGCCCATGCCCCCCCCCCCGGGGGGGGGTGATTTCTCACTTTCTGTCTCTCTCTCTCTGTCATTCTGGCAAGTGCACATGCCCTATAGCAAAAACCTCTCAAAAAAAAAATTATTTAAAAAAAAATTCACCTAATGTGAATTCATAGCCACCCTTTGATATTTCAATTCATCCACCATATTTATTGAGCATACGTATATACAGACAGACAGTGCATGCTCAACACTGTTTCCAGGTACTGTGGAAGCAGAGATGAAGGGTGTATGTAACTTCCTGAAGCTTACAAGGAAAGACGAGGCATACTCAAAGATCAGGGAGGTTAAGTAACTTCTCTAGGCCCTAGTATTAATAACTGGATTTGAATCCAGATTTATCAGACTCCACTTTACCTCTGTCTACCAGGAGACTGACTGGTCTCCTGCTGTAACTACTAGGTAGTTCTTTTTGTTTCTTTCATGGTATGCGTGAGAGATACAGATGAGAGAGAGAAAGGGTTAAAAACATTTTTTTTCTTTGGTGGATATTTGAGAAATTCTCAAACAACCTGCCAGATCACAGCAGCAGGACATAATAAGGAAATGCACTTAATTTGGAATCAGAAGGTTTGCATCCTAGTCAAAACTTGCTGACCTTGGCAAGTCACTATCTCCTTGGGCTTCTGTATGACTATCTTAACAAGAGAGGAGTTAGCCTAGTAAGGATTGGTAAGTGGATTCATCTCACCTAACAATTCACACCTAGTCACAGTGACTGCCTAGAATACCTGAACACCTGTGTAAGAAGGATTCTAAGCCTCATTTATGCACAGCAGAAAGACCCAAAATTGACTAGTGACGTCTGTCATGAGGTCAGAAGGGTGACAAAACTAAAAGACCCTGTGAGGACTCTTACACTTCTGATAACTTGAGGTATCTAAATGGGAGTCATTTTAATTTGGTGATAAAATTAAAAACTCCTTTTTTATGACTTTTTAAAAAAAGAATTATTTTATTTAACTTTATTTATTTATTTATTTATTTATTTATTTATTTATTATTTATTTATTTATATTTGACCAGAGAGGGGCAAAATGAGAGAGAAAGAGAAAGTGAGAAAGCAAGCCACCAGGTCCAGGATTCGAACTGGGGTCGACCATGTGGGAGTCCAGAGCCTTTAACCAGCATAACACCAGCTGGCTCCTCTTTCATGACCTTCTAAAACACAGAACTTTCCTGAAAAAAGCAGATCGCCCATTTTCTGATATAAGAATATAAGTAATGTTGTAATTTTTTTTTCACTTTAAACAATCCCATTACAACTACTTATATTCATAAGAATCTAGAAATAGGAATTCACCTGTTACCATGGGAATTTATGGTGATGTTTCCAAAGATCTCCCATCCCATTTGCATTTTACAATGTGAACTTAACACTTCACCATCAAAGAGTGATCTATTTCCCCTTCCCTTGAATCTAGGATAGATAGACGTGTGACTGCTTTGACCATCAGAAAGTAACAAAAGTGACATTCTGAGACCTCTGACTCTAGGGGTAAAAATGTCTGACAGATCATTAAATTGTGTTTATGCAAGGTTTTGGGAAATCTGAATGAAACGTTTATAGACTCATTTGTACTTTCTTTCTTTTTTTCTACATTAGCTACAGGGCCAATGTACTCATGGGAAAGAGAGAGAGAAAGAGAGAAGGAAATGAGAAAGCACCCCCCAGGAGGGATGGCCACATCACAATCCCTTCTCCTCCTCTCAGGATTATGGGCACACATGCACATGCGCCCAGCATATTTTTCAAGCCACCAGGTCTGGGCTTGAACTGTATAGTAGGTCCTGTTGAATCCAATCACCTTAACTATCACACCACACCAGGTGGCCCACATTTGTACTATTTTTTGCAATATTTTTATAAGTCTAAAATTGCTATAAAATCAAAAGTTTAATAAAAACAATTTTGTATGTTTGTTTCTTTCATTTATTTTTTAAAAGAAAGGTCTGGCAGTTTCTACTGTTGCACTCTAACATGGAAGGAACCCAACTACCCTGACATTGTGGTGCTGGGAAGATGCCTAAGATAGTAGCATTGAGAGGCCACACAGAGGGAAACAGACAGAGAGGGAGGGTAAGGCAGAGACATCCAGCCCTTAGCCAATTCAACCATCTTAGCTGAGAAGCCAGACATGTAATGTTTTGTTTGTTTGTTCTGAATTTCAGATAATTTCTTATGAACCAAAAGTACAAGATTCCATTGAAACTGAAACAGCTGACAGAATGCGACTGAACTTAATCAAACCTTCAAGGGAAATATGAAGGATCAAACAAAGCCAGTAAGAGTGGAGGAACCCAAGACTGGTGTGGAACACACAGGGATAATAGCATCTCAGTATGAGTATCTTCTGACCCCTCTAGCAGTCAGTCTGTGATTATGCTCCCGTCTCTCACTGCCTTCTGGAGCATTTACCAAAGCAAATGGCTTCTTTCTCCGTATTGCAGCTGTTAAGTCAACCCAACAGGAAAGTTTATGAACTTTACTGGAGGGTAGAAAATGCACATACCCTGGGGACCCAGCAGGTGGCGTGGTGGTTAAGGTGCTGGACACTCCCACATGACCAACCACAGTTCGAGTCCCAGACCTGGTAGCTTGCCTTCTCACTTTCCCTCTCTCTCTCTCTCTGTTTCTGTCTCTCTCTGGTCAAATTAAAATAAATGAATGAATAAATAATTGTTTTTTAAAAAAAAAAGGAAAATGCACATACCCAAACCCTGACACACTGGATGTTATCATCTATGTGCCAGCCCAGTAGACAGCATGTGGAACAGAAGTGAACCGATCTTTCCTGCCAAGCCCTGTCCAAATGACAACACCTCTGACCTCTACGATATGAGATTTATGAATAATAATGGATAATCAAAGCATACATCAAACTTCCACCTGTGGCAAAATGCCTTCGGGTCTGCCTTTCATTCATCACAAGATTACCTTGTTTTGAAGCAGAAAATTCAGAAGCTGAGATTTATTTTCAGGAAATCCCTCTGATGTAACAGACCTGAATTCCAGCCACACTGATTACACTGGTTATAACTCCTGCACTCTTCTGAGAATGTATTATAAACACTGCTACTACCAAAAAATCTTGGATTGTAAAAGCTTTCTTTCAAGATAAACTAAATCCTTTCGATGTACTCAAGTACTCTAATCTCAACAGAGCCTCTGATCTGACATTATAAAAGTATAATCTTCCCCAGATATCATGCAAAATTCCTCTTCAACGTATTTTTCTTCGTGGCATCCACCCATTTTAAACAATCTACAAGTGCTAGATTAAAATAAATCATTAGGCCCAGCTGTGGTGCTGCGGGTGGGAGCATGCTGCTCTGAGATGCTGGAGCCATATAGAATGCCAGGGCTCAGACTCTGAGGTACCTGAGACATGTAGCACATGTTTGCACACATGCTCCTGCACATACACATGCAGCCATGATCCTGACAGGCAGAAAAGCTGGGTGGGCGGAGGTACTGTACATGATGAGGTGCCTGTCTGCCCCACCAATGAAAAAAAAAATTCAAAATAAGTAAATAAATAACAATAAACCATCAATTCTACTACTACTTTTTTTTTTTTTTTGAGAGATTTTCACTGTAGGGCGCGTGCGCTCGCCAGACAGACAGAGAGAGACATAGAGACAGCGAGAAATCACCCCCCAGGGGAAATGGTCATGCCGCAATCCCTTCTCCTCCATTCTCCTCTCGGGATCTTGGGCACGCACGCACACGCGCCTGGCGTGAGTTTTAAGTCACCGGGTCTGGGACACGAACCACAGTAGACTACGTGGGAGTCCAGCGACATAGCCATTATGCTAACTGCTGGTTCCTCTACTACTACTTTTGATTAGAATTTCCCAGAAGATACCTAAGGTCCTAAATTCAGATGAATGCAAGTCATCTTAGAAAAGGCAAGAGAGGGACAATGGTACCACAACAGATTATAGGTACAGAATTTCAGGCCAAACTGTCAGGACTCCGATCTGAGGTGTGCTATTGTACTTCTAGCTGGTGACCCTAGGCAAGTCATTACTCTACTCTGTACCTTCTCTGTAAAACAAGAATAACCTCATAGGATTGTTGCAAGGATTAAATGTCAATGTACATAAAGCTCTTGGGAGACCAACTGGAACATAATAAGCACTCAATAAGAATTAGCAATCTTAAACTGAAGAGCTGCAAGAGAGCAGCTACTGGGCAAACCACAGGGTCATAAAACAGTCACAAGACACCCTAGCACAGTGCTTCTCAAGATCTTTATTTCTAATCCTTCACAGACTGATACATTGTGTAAAATATAAGGATCCCATGCTTAAGTGTCACAGTAATGTCAAATTGCTCTAAACATTTCTGAATGTTCACTCTCCCTTTTTATGTTTATCTCAAAGTAGTTCAGGGACTAGAACTTGTCTGTACACTGAACTTTTGAGTAGCACTGTTCTGGCACACAGAAGGATGCAGAAGGAGCCTGCTGAAAACTCAACTAGCAGGTTAAATAGAATTACGAAAATATTTATAAAGAGAATCAACCCCAGGAGCAATGGCAAAGAAGATGACTTGAAAGTCAACAAGCTGGCAGATAAAACAACCCCAACAGGCTAAACTTAAAAAACAAAACTGGCTGCCAGAACAAAAGCTCCTCCACCAGTGCTCGAGTGGGTGGCCCTCTGAAAACACATCAGCCAGTAAATCATCAGCCCCAAAGAGGACAAAAGGTATGAAGGAAATAAACAGCACTGACTTGGGACTTCTGAGAAAGAAGTCCTTTCTCAGGAGTGAGAAGTCACCCTAAGTCATCATCAGACTTTGGGGACATCAACCATGTGTCACAAAGGCCAGAGTTTTTTCTCTATCAAAGCAAACATGCAAACATTTTCTACGGTGAGGTGGGACTGCACACAGGCACACTCACATGTTCGAAAACACACACCTGTGGTTTTAGGAGGCTCCTGAGGTCCACCCTGCCAGCCATACTGTGGGTATCCTTGGTAGGGGTACCCCTGGGGAGGTGGGTAGGGTCCCCCCATAGGTCCTGGTTGGTAGGGTGCAGGCCCCATCGGTTGTTGTGGATAAGGTGGGTACGGGGCTGTCGGACCAGGGCCTGGATATGGTGGAGGGTTCTCTGGATTCATCATGGAACCACAAAGTACACCTGAGGGGGAAAAAAGAAAACAGTGAAAATCATTTGAATTTAACCTGTAGAAATCAGTAGGAAAAAAGTTCCTACTCAAGAAGTCATTTACATAACATCTTTAAGGTATCTTAAGCTCAAACAAATCTCTGTCCATTCTGTTTTCTTCTCACCATCACCGCAATTGGTATGTATGTTTATTTACCTTATGCCTGTCTTCCTCAATAACTTATAGGCTGTGACTGCAGGGATCAAGTCAGTTTTCAATCAGGACCATGTCCCGAGAGCTTCACATAGTGCCTGACACAAGACAGGCCTCTTAATAAATGCGCTGAATGAATAACAGGATATTTGGGTTTTTAATTGCTCTGTACTGTTCATAAATATCGGATAGCTTTGAGAAGGCAGAAAGTCTAATAGCATTAAGTAGGAGTCAGAACAATGGAGGCTGACTCCATTCTAGAAAACCTCCCATAAACAGGACTGAGCCACAGTAGGGTCTCCTCACAAGCATGACTACGGCAGACCAATCAAAAGTAGTAACCAAGGGCCAGATGGTGGCACAGTGGTAAAACACAATATTCTATGAGGCTGTCCCACATGGGAAGGTTCCTGGTTCAAGTCCAGGGAGCGCTCCTAAATCTGCTAGGCACACGTGCACCCATGGTCCATGTTTGGCTAAAGGCAGAGGGTGGATTGTGGGACTGAGATCCTGTTTAAAGGTGCTGTGTCTGTCTCTGTTTCTCTCTCTCACTCGTGGAGCAAATAAAAGAATAACCTTGAAAAGGGAGGTGGGTGGTAAGTAATCACTATTGTCCTGGGCACTAGGATGATCTGGGTGTTCTCCCCGGGTCCACTGCTCTGAGCGGCTGGGCAGAGATGTCTTTAGACAATACTGAGCATTTCTCTGTCCAGGCTTCGGGGCTCTGGAGGGTTCACCAGGAATCCCTACCTGTGTTCACAAGTTCCTGTCCTCAGTGGTTTGCTTCTGTGAGGGAGGACTGGTTTCCAGCCCCCAACACTGTTAACTTACTTCTTCTTTTTAACTGGGCTTGAAGCCTCAGGGGGCCAGCAGTCTTTCCATCATCTCTATAACCTCCACAGTGACTGGCACATCCCTGGGGAACGTCCTCTGTGGATAACTCATGTGAACAACGCGATCCCTGACTTACTGCTACCTCGCACTATTACCCATCGCCGATACTGTTTCTTAACTTTTACTTACTTGAGTGTCTTCCACCCATACCTAAACAGCAGGAAAAGTATCATACTCAAAATGTAATGATTTCACTATTAATTCTTATAACATACAATCAATAAATTTAGAAGTGACTTTATACAAAAAACAGAAAAGTGAGAATAAGGTTTCCTAGAAAATCTGGATGAAAACAATAGCAGACTTTGCCTGTGGCCCACACAGCATCCATATTCTCCCTTCCTGACCACAGTCAAATTTCCAGTTAGGTGTCTGCCCCCCCTCCCCCACCCCCTTCTTGTAGTTCCTGTGCTTTGGGAAAGGCTCATCTCATCCCAGCTTCAGAGTGGCCCCTAGATCTTAGCCAATACAGGTCAGTCACCTTCTCCCCTTTTAATTCCAACTGATTCAAGGAATCTAGAACTAATTCAATTGCAAATGAAATACCCTGGCCACTGGGACTGGTTATGAAGTGGTTCAATCAGTAAAATGATTGCACTCTTGCAAAACACACTCCCATTTATTCTCCCCTTCCCCTTAACACAGGTACACACCAAGTGGAGGAAAGATAATGGCTACAGAATTGCTGAGAGCCAATCTGCAACCCTGAAAAAGAGACAGCCTTAAGATAAAGAGGGCACTTCAGAAAAGCAGAGCAGAAAGGAGGAGAAAAGGAATTCTGGAGGACTTTATATGAGCACCACACATCAAAGACTAAAGCCCAGCCTAACCTAAAGTACCTCTAAGAACTTTCCATTCCTGGGGCCAGCAGATGATGTGGTGGTTACGGCACTGGACTCCCACATGGCCGACTATGGTTTGAGTCCCGGACCTGGTGACTTGCTTTCTCACTTTCTCTCTGTCTCAGTCTGGTAAACACATGTGCCCTATAACAAATTTTAAGATAGTGATAATGAATAAAATTAAAAAATAATTTTTCAAAAAAAAAAAAACAATTTCCGTTCCTGGGAAGCAGTAGTAAGGTAAGCTAACAAAACCTCCTGAGCGACACTCAGCCAAATATACATTTATGCCATGCTGACCAATGCCTGACACTAGGCTAACTAGTGGGATGTGGAGGTCAATATGGTTCAAACTCCTCCCTTGGGAAACTAGTTGAAAAGGCAAACATGGGCCAGCCAGTGACATGGCAGTTAAGGTGGCTGGATCCCATAGTCAACTGTGCAGCTGAATCCTGGACCCATCTGGGCAGGAGTGCAATGTGTGCCCAAAATACTGAAAAGAGAAATGGAGGAGAAAGGACTGCTGTGTCCTTTCATTGCCCCTAAGGGCAATGATTTTTCATTTTTCCTCTCTCGGTCTCTCTTCAGGGAGCACACATACTCTTTGGCAAATTAAAAAAAGAAAGAAAAGACAAATCTAAAAATAATGATGAAAAGGTGAAGTAAGAATACTGGGTAGGAGTACAGGCTTAAATCCAGTCTGAAGAGATGGGAGTGGAGACAGAGTCCCTTGAAGGAGGCGATTATAAACTGCTAACTTTCTAATATTAAATCAGGAAGGCTTGAGAGTCTCTATTTTAACTATCTGCACTCTGTCTCCCATTTTAGAAGCTCGTTTATTTTTCCAGGGCCTGAAGGGGACTCTGAAAAGAACTAGAGTTCATTCCCTTTCCTGCTCTCTGGCCTATGCCAAAAGGGGGATGGCCTTTCCCCTTTCCCTAATGCAAAGGCTCTGGTGACTAACACATCACAAGATGTGGACATATTGGGGACCAGCAGGTAGCATGGTGGTTAAGGCGCTGGACACTCCCATATGGCCAACCACAGTTCGAGTCCCAGACCTGGTGACTTGCTTTCTCACTTTCTCTCTCTCTCGTCAAATTAAAATATGTGAATGAATAAATAAAAAATTAAATAAATAATTCTTTTTAAAAAAAATGTAGACATGCACAGATGCTGACAATAATGCATTTTTCCTCTCCTACCAAGAAGACTGGGGAAAACCTAGAGAGCCCTAGTTAACACAGAATCGGTCTCGTTTAACCCCATATGGCCATTCTATCTTTACGTTTAAATTACAGAAATAGAACATAGCCATAACTACTCTGCTCTGAAACTTAGTGTGACCTAATTTCATTGAAACTATAGTTTACCTTGATCAGTAACCATGGCCCCATAGTAAGGATTGTTCTCACTTAGCTAATCTGGACCTGTACTTCTCAGAAGACACTGATCTTTCAAGAACAATCTATTCCTCCTCATCTTGTGTTCTCTCTCTGGGATCCTCAAATTCTCTTCCACGTGCACACGTCCTTTCCCCTCATCCTTCAATCATGATTTCCCTTCATTTTAGTAAGTATTCTGTGTGTGTGTGAGCAATCATGTAATGTCTGAGGTGGGGGGAATCTCAGGTGCTATTCACAGAGGCCCTTATAAAAAGTATAAACACAAAGGTGTTCCTGCCACCGTGACCCTTTTCCCACACATATACTCCATCCCTGTCTCAAGACAGTCATCTTAGAGGAACAAAGATCTGGATCTATTTTCAGTTTTCTCTGAGGAAGGAGGGGAAAAAATCCCAGTAAGAGAACATCAAAAGTCATAGAGCTTGCATCTGTGCAGGATCAAAGATCCTAGTAGGTTAGCCTTTGAAAAGCAGAACTTCACTCCCAGTGGGAATCAACTGTTCCACACTGGTAAAGAAGCAAATCAAAGTAAACAAGATTACCTAGCACTGACATAGTCTAGTACAAACCATTTAATATAACCGGAACTAAATAGAGCTTTAAATTTAAAATATGATACGAAACTTTATAAAAAGTACTGCTTTCCTTTAAAAATGTGGTTGGATAAAATTTAACTGAGTTGAATGTTGCAGGGAGATCAAATGTAAACAGTGGAAACTGTAGCATGAAAGACAAGCCAGAGCTCCAAAACAGAAGGCTCAAATAGTGCAGTAGCCAAGATCCATTAATAGACTGTACTGAACACTGCTATCTGACGATCCCATTCAAGACATGCTCAAACATGGGATTAGCAGTTGTTCAACCATACAATGAGAAGAGCAGAAACTACTCTGAAAAGTAGTCCACGGAGATACAAAAGCATAACAGACTTCATCAAATGAAGATGCAGGAAAGAACAGTATTTTCTAAAGTTGTTACTATTTTTTAAACTATAAGATACTCGGTAATGTAGACTGGCACTGACTCTGCGGACTGTACACTGGAGAATTTTCCTCTGGAAAAACTGAACAGATCCAATGGGAAAGAAATTACAGATACTAATATTTGGGGAAGTACTAAAGAAGTGACTTACCCAATCACCCCACTGGTAAAGCCCATGCATGTAGAACTTTATCAACTTTATTATCTCATACATAAATGGACGAAGATTATCAGACATTGGAGGAAAGCCTCCAATATAAAAGTCTAAAACAAAATAGGAAATGAAAAAAACTGTCCAAAAAAAGAGCCAAATAAATTATGGCATGCATATAGTTTTGTAGTCATTTTAGTTTATGCTTTTAAGTAATGTAATATTGTATAATAAAAATTTTAAAGCTATATACTCATCAAGATTCCAAGTTTCTTTAAAATAAATATTGCCTCAATAAATAAATACATAAATAAATATTGTCTCTTGGCCTTCTGGCTAAGATAAAGTATTAATAAGTCAATGAACAGAATGAAGAGTAATAAAATAGATCCACACAATATAGTCACCTAACTTTTTAAAAGAATTATCTGATTTTACTTGTTATTATTTATTTTTCAATTTGACCAGAGAGAGCGAGAGAAAGGGAAAGTGAGAAAGCAAGCCGCCAGGTCTGGGACTCTAACTGTGGCCGGTCACATGAGAGTCCA